TTTTCCTTGTTAGATATAAACATCTAAAATGCTCCTTTAATGCTGACTATCAGCCTCACACCTCTCTTAAAAAAAATATTTCAAAATCAAATTATTAACTGTTTTCTTTTTCACTTTGTTGTAAGCATGTGTGTATGAGTGTTCATTTCAATTAGATTAGTAATTAACMTCTACACTTTTAAGCAAATTTGGTCGTCATTAAAAATATAACTGTGTTGGTGTATATATTTCATATGAATGACTAAAAAATTCCGAATGTACTTACTTGGGACATTCCTCAGCAATGTAGTTGTTCCTGCCGTTCGCGTCGCCGTTGCTGTTGCCATTGATGGCTTTGGTCTTCAGCAGGCTGCTGCCGTTCAAATTGAAACCTGTCATTGTTATTGTTGTAGCTTAGTTTTATAGTACACTTGTCGTGTGATAGCGCCAAGTCTGCGATCTGCGGGTAAAACTCTATTCTAATGCTGCTTGCGTTGACACAAAAAGCAAGTGAATTTTTTGTTATCTAGACCCGTCTGCTTGAATTTRTTTTGGGATTTCACTTAATTGGTTATTTAATTATCCTTACATTTATTTTCTTTATACGAACAGTTCACGTTTTATAGCACAAATAAAATTTATAACTGTTTACAAACAAGTGTCACAAGTTTTTTCTGTTCACCAATGATATTTGTATTAAATCCAATATATTTATGTRTGTCTTTCTTTATAGTCTTCGACCAAACTACACGTTTAAAAAATTTCCAGCAAATTCTTTGAGCTGCTTCTTTTTCAATAACTTCTGCTTCGCGGTTTCTACGATTACTTTGTTTTACTTTTGCTCCTAGTTCTTTTAGATCTTCACAGATTATAATCGAAAGATGCGCGTTTATTAATTTGTTATTTACCGGCTTGCTGCTTGTTGGTAACTGCTCGTCGCCGTTGGACATCGACGCAATTTATGCTCGTTGCGCCGATCGTTKTCYATCGCGCCGCCAGCACACCCTACAAGCTGCACTCGTCGGCTGTGGAAGTGGCGAATAGATGATAACACAGATGCGAGCACTTCGGAGCKAGCTGCAGTTCCACTTTTCTCACTTTTTTTGGTTGAATTTCCTGATTATAGGCAGGTGTGGRCAATTGGCAAGAAACTACATATGTAAGTATGTATATGAATGTAGAACTCTTTAATATGTGATGCGTGGTGCTGGCTTGTTGACTTTTACTTTTTCGACATTTTCTTTCGTTACACATTTGGCTAATTCGCTCGTACKTTGCTGTAGTGTTTGCTGAGTTTAAGAGAGCTGTTGAGTAGCTGAGCGGAGAGTCGGTTTATTTACGAGTTTGCCGAAAACTGTTTACGTTAAGTATGTGTGTTATTGATGTTTTATGCAGCTCACCAACTCTAGCAGGTAACCGATTCAAAATTATATAATTTTATACATCGTTAGTTTAGAGAAATATCTAGAAGTAAGAGTTTTTCAA